CGGGCGGGGGGCCGGTTCGGGAGGCTGAGGCACGTGCGGTGGTCAGGCGATGATTTGGCTCAGCCGGCGTCCCATGGACGGGATCTGATGACATAGGGCGTCTGCTATCGCCAGCCAGAGTAACATTGGAAGAGCATGGAGCGCCACTTTCGCATCTGGGTGACTGCACAGATGACAGTAATTCAGATGCAGTGCTCAGGGTGGGATTCGGTATACAACGGTAATTATTTTCAGAATTAATCTTTAACAACATACCTGATAACAAAACTACAAGCCACTCCGTACTACGAAGCCCGAGCATACAGACCAAACTTACTCAGAAACAGAGAACACCATGCCTGCAAACTCGCCCACGCAAACCCTCTCGCTTACCAGCCACGTGCTGCTGTGCGTGCGTACCAGCTGTGCTTGTCAACGGCCACCAGCCCCGCAAATGGCACTGTGACCTGGAAGCTCGGGCGCATGTCGTCCGCGCGCGGCTCACGGCCCACTCCCCCCCCCCCCCCCCGACCGTCACTCACGCTGTAGAGGTCGCGCCGGTCGTGCGGCGAGAACAGCTGCAGGTGGCCGACGGCGCCGTTCAGCAGCAGCGCGCCGCAGCGAGGCTCCAGCACCAAGCCGGTGGCCGGGCCGGCGCTGGCGCCCCAGCTGAGGCCGCGGATCAGCTGCGTCACCTGGCGCTGGGCGCTCACCAGCCGGATCACTGCCGGGAGAGGGGGCAGGTCAGCGGCGGCGATGATGTGAGGCGTCACCACACCGCCGACGCCCCAGGTCGCCAGGGAGCTCGCGTGCAGGGCGTGTGCTCGCTGCGGACGAGCGATGGGTTACGACAGTGTCCGCAGGAGGTGACGCCTAGCCAAACATTCGGACGCGGCTTAGTTAAAAAGAAACGGCAATCGATATCAGCCGTCGTCATTATCAGCGTGTGGCATGATCGCACTCGCCGTGCCCGGCGTGTGACATGACACCCCCCACCGTCCCCAGCATGTTACATCATCTCTCCCACCGTGCCCGGCGTGTGACATGACATCCCCCACCGTCCCCGGCGTGTCACATCATCTCTCCCACCATGCCCGGCGTGTGACATGACATCCCCCACCGTCCCCAGCGTGTCACATCATCTCTCCCACCATGCCCGGCGTGTGAAATGACATCCCCCACCGTCCCCAGCGTGTTACATCATCTCTCCCACCGTCCCCGGCGTGTGACATGACATCCCCCACCGTCCCCGGCGTGTGACATCATCTCTCCCACCGTCCCCGGCGTGTTACATCACCTCTCCCACCGTCCCCGGCGTGTCACATCATCTCTCCCACCGTCCCCAGCGTGTTACATCATCTCTCCCACCGTGCCCGGCGTGTGACATCACCTCACCCACCGTTGTCGGCGTGTGACGTGGCCACCAGCTGGTTGTCGGGCGAGACCGTGACGTGGCGGATGGGCATACCAAGACGCGGCAGGAAGGCGGGCTGCTCGTCCTGGCCGTGCCAGTACACCAGCACGCACTCCTCTCCGCCACTCACCAGGTACGTCCCTGCCCGGCGAACAGGGCCGAGGCACGGGTCAGCTCATCAGATGAGACAGCCGGCAGTCAAGATCATAACAGCTCATTAGACGGTGAGGCCGGCAGTCAAGGTCACAACAGCTCATCAGATGGGAAGGCCGGTAGTCCAGGTCACAACAGCTCATCAGATGAGACGGCCGGCAGTCCAGGTCACAACAGCTCATCCGACGAGAAGGCCGGCGGTCACGGTCACAACGGCTCTTCTTTCTCAGCGGTATTGCGGCTAAACAGTCAAAGAACGAGTTGTGGACACCATGCATTACAAACGCGCCTGACAACATGAGGGAAGTCAAGCCAAATAAATATGTTTGACTTTCAGGTGTCTACACACTGCACCATCCCCGCTGACCCCAGGCGGTTAACGCTCAACGGCTTGTCCCAGGATCGGCGCTCGACACTCGTGATTCCGGGCGTTTACAATCTTAACGGACACTTGGGGATCACAAAGAACCGCAGTGCTGTGTGTCGTTATCACACTGTAGCTATCGCTCATCTGCGTCGTCACGCTATCAGCAATAGGCCTGCGATCTTCTCCCCTTCCCCTCGCGTGCCTGATGGAGAAGACCACCCCACCCCTCCCAAACCCGGCCCTGTAGCGACAAACGCCCTGGAGCGCGCCTCACCCTCGGGCGAGAAGCTGACGCTGGGCAGCGGCAGCGTGTGCCAGTGGAGCACGGAGCGGACGGGTGGCGCGTCGGCCAGCAGGCGGCGCCACAGCAGCAGCCGGCCGCTGGCGTCGCCGGCCGCTACCGCCGGCTCCGTCCGGTGACACGCCAGGCAGGTGAAGGGACGGGCGCTGTCCGATCGCAGCCTGTCGGCGCGCCGAGGAGGCGTCAGGCGGCGGAGGAGTCAGGCGGCGGAGGAAGCGTCAGGCCGCGGAGGAGTCAGGCGGCGGAGGAAGCGTCAGGCCGCGGAGGAGTCAGGCGCGCCGAGGAGGCGTCAGGCGGCGGAGGAGTCAGGCGGCGGAGGAAGCGTCAGGCGGCGACGAGGCCGGCCGCGCCGTGGCCTGGCTGGCTGCAGGTGCGCGAGGGCGAAATGTGCGTGCGGACAGAGGCACATTACCGAGGTCTTCAATCACGGAGGTGCGTGAACAACGTCGTCGAAATGGGCATTAATGATGCATAATTGGCCTCACGTGAAATACGTTGATTTCGCAGTACGAAATCGGCCATTAAACATAGTATCAGGCATCGAAAAAGATATGATGATGCCTGGGAATTTGATTGCAACCTTGACAAGGTCCAAAACGTAATGCATGCTGCATGCAATGCTCAACATGTTTTTGCATTTGGCCTTATGGTGGTATCCATATATATGATGAGGTGAGGTATCCATAACAGAACGACGATTCCGTATTTGCATTCGTAGCGCAGTCAGTGCGTTCACTTACGTGTTGTACTGATGTGTTTTGGCGCTCTCTTTCTGCCACAGGTTGCGCACAAGAATGGTGTCGGCCTTGACCAGTGCTGCCACCATGCGGCCGTCGCCGCCGAACGCCACCTCCATCTGCCGGCGGTTGCCTCGCCGCACACCCCGCACCACCTCCTGGGCGAGCGTGGCGTTCTTGACGGGCCGGCACGAGATCGGCCGAGTCGTCCGTGCCGGACCGGCGCAGCAGAACGTACGGCTCGACAGCGGCCGGCCGGCCGCAACAGGCCCACCATCGCGCTGCCATCTGACGTCAGCGCGGCGAAGCTGCGTTTCTGAAACGTTGCCGGTTGCTGATTGAGTTTGCACGTTCACCAGTGAGGCACAACGTACACTTCGCGCAAGTGCTGTAAGTTAGCAAGCAAAGTCGCCTTGTAAAATGGCGTTACGTAACTACTGAAGGATTAGCTTCACGGCAACAATGGAACAGAGCGCTGAAAGAAACTATAAGCTACCGACCTTCAGTGATGTCCCCAGGGGGAAGTCCCACAGGATGATATTGGCTTCACTGTCACAAGTTGTGACATGGCGATGATTCGAGGCATCAGGATACACTGCCACTATTGGTGACTTGGTCTCCAGAAGATGAGCCAATTCGCCCGTTGCAGCATTGTAAGCATGAACCTTTCCATCATTGACAACAAACAAGAACCTGTGAAGAAGAGCAATTGGTCACTGAAAGAATACAGACATTAGCTGAAGTGGGAAAAATTTAGCTTTTAGAAGGATTAAGGCGAGGTATAAGTATCATGGATGGATGAAATGTTCGGACATCGGCCTCGTCTTGCGTGTTAGTATGAACACAGCATTTCGGCCACTGAACTCTTCGACAACTGTCTCCAGTGTCATTAAGTCCTTAGAAGGTTTGGGTAATGTTTGGCTTTCAGCCATGTACCATCACAATCTGAATTATCTCCTTGAAGACTCTGGACTATGGTGGGCTGGTTATGCTGCGCAGGAAGGATGATCCATCTCGGTTAGCTCAGTCAGTAGACCACCAAACTCTTTAAATGGAAAGACCCTAGTTTGAAATCCAGTAATTCCAAGGAGATCATTTGGGCTGTGACACCTACCTGGCTGAAACCTAATCATCACCCAGTCACACTTACTGCTTCATAACACCTGTGAATGGTTGGAGAGTTCGCTGGCTGAAATACTGAACACATGCTAACACTTCCAAAAAGGACAAGTGTCTTGAACTATTATTCCAAACATGGGTAGAATTTAGCTACTGCATAAAATTATACCTGTTTGGTTTATTTTGACATTGTGCAATGTAAAACCCCTTGTATACTGATGAACTCTGGGTAACAGCAAACAGGTTGGTAAAGAATCATTGCAGAGTTAAGGGAAAAATTAATATGTGCAAGAAACATAGCAATCAATATATAGATAATTCTCTTAAGCAAGTACATGCTTCCTTACTGTAAGTTAACACCACTTCACATTGGTCTTGGGCATATTGGTCTAATGCCACTTTGCATTGGCCTTGGTCATCCATAGATGTAAAGCTGCCCCCCAACCAACTAATCAGCAAAAAATCCACCCAGTGCTCAGATACCTACAATGATTGGCATTAAACCTTGTGTGACCCAACTCAGGCTAAAATGCTTTTTGAAGGATTTTTGTCTGAAAGTTCATTAACAGCATCTCAATTCCTTGAAGCATTACTTATTGAGCAATAGAAGTGATGTTGCCTCGCTACAATACCCAGAGGGCTGAAATGGGTCAGGGTCAAAGGGCAACCTATTGACACCAATTAACTGCCTGCAGGAACTGCCTCAAAGCCAAGATCCTGGTATTTAATTCATGTTTACATCCTGCACACCCTGCTGGATAAACTTTGGAGGACTGGAGCTGAAACTATTGTCATGCACATGGAAGAATTTGGTATGTATATTTCTTGCAGCCTGGCCCATATGCACAAGGGAGCATTCAGTTACATTACAAATTGCCTACACAAATTTGACCAAAAATTGATGAGGCAAAACAAATAAAACATCAACTTACTTTGAGTCTGCACTGAAGACAGGCTTGTCATCCACAATGCTTCCACCTGCAATTTTGATTTCTTCTAGACCACCCTGTTGAACTCCCATGCTAACGTCCGAGCTTGAAGTGATCTTGGATTCTTTCATAGCGTTAAGCAACTTTCTAGACACAATGAAACACAAACTACTGTCATTCACGTGAAATGCAAACTTACAAACTCGACTCACTCAAAAAGTGTGCATGCCAACAAGCCGAGCTAAATACATCACATCAGCAAATCGCGCCCCAAAACCACAGTCCCCTAGAACGCAATCACCAACACGTGTCTAAAATGCATTATTTTGGAACACGCCGCCGCGTCGTTCCACGTCATTTGTGCGCAATGGTAAGCTTCAGAAGGCGTAGGCTTTATTGGGGATGGATTTCAGAAGAAAAATATTTTGGCAATGACGCAGAAGTACTTTTCAGTCTGCAAGAAATTTTCTGAAGTTTTTAATCGACCCTTTGTAGTAGTACGGCCTAGTTTTGGATTGGGCAGCGTTGGACTTTATGTCACGTATTATTTGGCCATCACAAATGTGTGCTGTTAAACAGGCTATGGTCCAATCGCCTTTGCGCCAAATAAATTTACGCCTCACGACCTTTCGCTGAGGCTTTCGTCATCGGGTTGTTTGTTTTCACCCTTACGCTGTATTGTTTCGTTGCAGTGGGCACTGCTCCAGGTATGTGTGGGCATAGAATACATCCGTTAGCAGGGTATCATTTACCTTATCACGTTCATGTGAAGACTCTCAGCGGGGTTGGAGCTCATAGCATCATAACACCCAATGGGTGGGTGTTGGTGTCTCATACTAACGAGTTGACCCAGCTGTTGTGGGTCGCCTTGTTTTGAACCAGATGTCTTGCAATCATTTTCACGGCCTTTTTTCCGATCTCTCACATGTAGTGCCAGTTGAAGTTTATCACATATCTTTCAGGACAACAGGTGGTGATCTCCCATTGCCACAAAATTGTGTCATCAGTTATTTGAAATACTTTTGATAAGTATTTTTGAAATCATGAATACTTTTGGCATACTATGTGTACCATGAACATACTGGAGTCACTTAATTGTGCCTTCCAGATACTGCATGCCTTTCAGACCAGTCATTGGTCAAGACACTGTCTTGACAAAAAGTAACAGGCTTGTATAAGCTTGGCTGCATATTTGGTGGTTTGGTGGCAGGGATGCCAATATTGTTCATGCTTTTACACCCCAGACTTGGGTTCACCATCATTTGCCTATCCTGTTGCTGTAAATCAGCTAATCAGTCTTGGCATGACAAACAGGCCCGGCAGGTCAGATGTCTGGGCTCGGAGTCAGATAACAAGTTAAATAAGCACCTGTCAGTGTGGTGCAGAATTTGTCAGACAGTTGGGATTCTGGTGGCATGAGATTCTGTTTGCATCCTTGAGACTACTGGATGAATGTTGTAACACTGCTCTTCTATGTTATATAATGGTCTAAAACTGGTTAATTACAAGTGTGGCCTATGAAGGCACTATTTGGTAATAGTATGTGATAGTTATGTCTATCAACACAAGTGGTGAAAGAAGCCCTGATGTTAATTTCAGCCTAAGTCAGTTGACTAAAGATGCTGGAGACTCCAGACATCACAGTCCTGATCAAGGCACCTAATCAAAAGCATGAAGACCACCCAGTCCAGTGCAGAGGAACTTGGACAGTGTACCAGCTGAAGGACCACCTGGCAGAAAACTACCCCACCAAACCAGTAAGTGTACATGGCTATTGACTAAATTTGGTTAGATTGGAGTGTGGTCTAGCTGTAAAGTTTCAGGGTTAGAGGTTGTGCCTTGTTTGTAAAGGCTCAATGTGATGAACTTCAACTATGTACATGCTATACTATTCTTCACTTTAACATGTCACATGTCCTACCCATGAACCATCACACCTGTTCAGCCTATTTCTCAATGTCGATATTAATGCCTAAGCATAACTGGGCTTCTCTGGTGTGTTTAGCTCTAAGTGTTATGACAGCACCCCGCAGCTAAACTTGAAATCCAGGTACTGGCGTGAAGCTGCTCCAGTTGCTTGCTCAGAGAGATGTCAGGTGTTATCTCCTTATCATATCAGCTTGGCAGTCAGATGCTGACAGCAGAGGTGCTATTTATTTTGCCCACTGATGGGCAGAAGATGACTGACTGCCCTCTGCTCTACCCCAGTTGAACCTCACCAGAACCTAAGTGAAACCTGATGGTGCCCCATGGAAAGAGCCAAACTAAACACTGTTTGCCCTCACATTCACTATCATGGTGTAGTTAAGCTGCTTGTCTGGGAAACTAGAGATACTAGGTTTGATTCCCTCCATTGCAGTTTCTGCCCCTCCTGCTTGGGTGAGATGCAGGCAACCTGTTATAAAACACCAATAACACATGGCATACACATGAACTATCAGGGGTTTGCTGCTATGGGCTCTGACCCCTCTGACAGACACATCTGATGTCAGTTGTCCAGCATGGTGTGCAGTGCCTGTGACCGCGCGCGTGCCGTCAGACTCTGAGGGAGCAGCGGCTGATCTACTCCGGGCAGCTACTGACGGACGACAGCCGGCTGGGCGATGTGCTCCGGCCGCACGACGACGACTCCAACGTACACACCGTGCACCTGGTGTGCGCGCCGCCGGCCGAGCCGCCGAGCGGCCTCCGGCGCCGCCGGCCGCCGCCCCAGCAGCAGCAGATGCCGCCACAGCAGCAGCAGCAGCCTCAGCATCAGCAGCAGCCGCCACAGGTTAGGAGTGTAGTGCCCCACCCAGGTCAGTTGTGGTGCCCTTAGTGAGTAGGTATATGCAGATGGGTGTGGTTGTTCTGGGGGGGATACTGCCACAGTGGGCTATCGTGTGACGTCACCATAGGTACAGGCCCATAGCTGTGGGTGAATATGGTGAGGTCCCATAACCCCTGAGGTCATGACAGGAGGGTGACCCCACCAATCACTTAAGCAAAAGGTCCAAATAAAGAGCTACCACTGAGTTGAACATGGTGTCAGCTCTGTCCAAGGTGTGGAAGTCTGCAGCGCGGCAGCTACGCTATGCAGCCTGGTGCCGGTCTTGTAACGATGTGTGTCAACCTCTCCATAGACGGCCGTGGGTAACCGCTATCGCTTTGGACCGGGTCTTTTCGTTTGTATGTCGGATTTGCGTGGGCACTTACGGGGCAGCAGGGTTAGTTAAGGTGGTGTATTGCTGCCATGCCGCTAGTAGCACATGATCCACTGTTACGGCAGACATGTAACGAGCCTCATTTGGATAACCTTGAAATGGCACACACATTCATTAGTTTTTGGAGAGCACGCAATCTTATGTCGCACATGGCTCATATCTGGAAACATGAGTGGTTGCTACAGGAGAGCAGCACAGTTTGACTGTGAGCAGACCGCGACGTCATATTTACGTAGGGTACCTTTGTGTTAGGTCGGGCACGCGTGCTCTGGCGAAGACTGTGAATTCCTGCTTTTGAGTCCGAGCCAGGCCAATTTATGCTAGATCTCGTCACGTCAGCTCGATCAGATCTGGCCCTGAAATCAGTTAGATCCTGTCGTGGTTTAACTGACTAAAGATCATGTAGGAAATTCAACGGTTCTGTACGAACGGCACCGTCGACCGGAATGCGTCCAAGTCTGTCTCGAATTTGCGGCTCCGAGCCTAGGCTGAGCGACAGTGGGCGGGAGTAAGCCGGTCGACATTATATGGTAGGTGCGCACAACCCTGCAGCCAAAACACCGCGGCCAGTTCGCCTCGAAATGCGCGCGTTTTTTCTTTCTCATCGATAACTGACAAGCGTGGTATGAGTGTGGAACTGGCCAGCTATGGGTACGGGGCTGCCTCATGCCTTAATGCCTTATAAAACGACATGCCTCATAAAATGACTTTGGCCAGCCCCACACCTCATACCCATACCAATTTAACACAAATGTTAAATTGATGTATTTGCTTACCGAGATTTGTCACTACTGCGGCACAAGTTTGAGCCTGGCTGTTTCGATGGGCTGAAATAGACAGCCCTTCGCACGAGACATGCCAGCATCGTTAATTTCTTAATGCCGTTGAATTGAATTAAATTGAGTAGGGCCAACGTGGTGTATGAGATCAACGACTATGACTGAGTTTGCATGATGTGATAACCCCTGCCGTTGATGAACCCCATTTTTTTTATCTAAACATGCAACGAGCGCCATTGATCAACATGGAAACGGTAAATACGTGACGCTTATGTCGGGAACGACCAATACAAGAGTTGAATCGATGCACATTCAACACCGGTGGTGCCGGCTTTGAAACCAGCCGCACACAGTTTTTTGGATGCAACAAACCATGTGGCAAACTCAGGGTTTTCTTATTTGTATGAACATCAAAGATCGAACGTGAGGATGATATCGAAAACTCCATCTCGAGTGCGCTCCCATGTAGCGTGAACCAGTCAGCATCGAGGGTGGGAACGGATATGACGCGTTCTGAAGACCAGCTTTGCCGAGGACACAGTAGTCATCAGTTTCAGAACTGCTAAAGGCGCGTGTCCTCTGTCGATTGGTGAAGATTGCCCCGAAACAGGCAGATTTAGAGACTGGGGTCTGCTCAATATTGATGTGGTGGTAACTTGAGCTATCACGCACGGTGCTTGGACATAATGATATTGGCATTTTGCTCGCTTTGGTTTTCGTCTTAGCTTAGGTCTCCTTGCAGCTTTCAGCTGTGACAAAGCAAGTCATATTCAGTATTACGACGTAACCGGAATGGCTATCTCACCCCGTGAACCGACCTGCGCGGTGACAAGCGAGCCGTCCAGATTTGCTATGAAAATGCCTGCTGGGTGATGGGATTTGAGCTTCAGTGGAAACGGTGCTACGGTCTTTGAGACTTTTTGGGCCGGTCGTGAGCAGATGTTCGTGAGCAGATGGGTTTTCTGGATCCCGGGTGATACCCAGACCCGCGCCTCGACCGGGTTCGTCGGCCACAACAGAGCTCTAAGCAATAGGGTCATATGTGGCGACCTTCCGCTCTTGGTGCACTTCCTGCGACCTCAGATTGCATCCCAGACGGCGTCGCCGGTATGAAAGCCTTCGTGGTCCTGGCGGCGGCGGCTGAACCCCTCGCTGGGCATTCAGCTCGTGTGCAGGCTCCGCCGTCCGTGCCGCCCTCCCCCTCCTCCCGGGTGGTGGGCGGTGGCTGCGCGGTGCAGCGCATTGAGGCCCCGCCGGGGCGGCCGACCAGCCGGCCGTGACCTTTACACCGGCTCGCCCCGGGACGAGCGGCCTGAGCTGGCGGCGCATTGCTGAGATACGGTGCGCGCGGAGGGCGGTGCCCGGGGCGACCGTGGAGCAGCCACAGGTGGCGTCGCCTGTCGTGAGCCGTGGGATTATCCAGCTGCGAGGCTGCCTGTGGGGGAAGCTCATGAGGCTGGTCATGTGGGGAGCTCTGGCCGGCACGATGGCGATGGGCAGGAGCACGGGTGACGATCGCGTCCGGGGGTCGTTCGTCAGGTGGTGCGCGTGTGGCGCCCTGGTTTTCCCGTGTGGAGCGAGCCGGACGTAAATGTAATTAGATCTTGCTTTGTATCAGACCTGCTGTGATATAGTCACAAAGGCCACTGTTACTGAAAGACCAGAGCTGCGTTTTCCCTTTATGTATTGAATCGCACACAGTTCTCGAATGTAATTAGATCATGCGTCATATTAGACCTTTGGTTGCATTGTACTCAGGGTGGAGGCCGCGGCTGAATGACGTCATCTTATATTTAGTCTTTCCGGATGTGCTAACCCGTAATATTCAGTTCACAATATCGTAGTCGATGCCGACCAAGTTAGCTCTGTTGACTGCCAGAATGGCTGAATTCTAAGATGGCGGGAGTAGTCAGGTCATATTCAAGCTCAGAAAGCAGAAAATATTTGAGTTAGCCAAACGATCGGTCAATTTAGGCACTTTTTTCGTTATTTGTCTCTTGAGTTGCACAAAAGGAAGAACAATTAACCGTAATCAGTTATTGAACAGTGTTGCCAGAATTATCTTAATAAAAAATGGCACGATTTAAAACCAAAGTAGCAAGGAATTATAAGAGAGCTGCGAATGAAGCAGCAGCTAGTTATATATATATATATATATATATATATATATATATATATATATATATATATCGGATTTGCGTGGGCACTTACGGGGCAGCAGGGTTAGTTAAGGTGGTGTATTGCTGCCATGCCGCTAGTAGCACATGATCCACTGTTACGGCAGACATGTAACGAGCCTCATTTGGATAACCTTGAAATGGCACACACATTCATTAGTTTTTGGAGAGCACGCAATCTTATGTCGCACATGGCTCATATCTGGAAAACATGAGTGGTTGCTACAGGAGAGCAGCACAGTTTGACTGTGAGCAGACCGCGACGTCATATTTACGTAGGATACCTTTGTGTTAGGTCGGGCACGCGTGCCCTGTCAGCTCTGTATATATGTATATATATATATATATATATATATATATATATATATATATATATATATCGGATTTGCGTGGGCACTTACGGGGCAGCAGGGTTAGTTAAGGTGGTGTATTGCTGCCATGCCGCTAGTAGCACACGATCCACTGTTACGGCAGACATGTAACGAGCCTCATTTGGATAACCTTGAAATGGCACACACATTCATTAGTTTTTGGAGAGCACGCAATCTTATGTCGCACATGGCTCATATCTGGAAAACATGAGTGGTTGCTACAGGAGAGCAGCACAGTTTGACTGTGAGCAGACCGCGACGTCATATTTACGTAGGGTACCTTTGTGTTAGGTCGGGCACGCGTGCTCTGTATATATATATATATATATATATATATATATATATATATATATATATATATATATACATATATATATATATATAAAAGCCTTTCCTCAGGACGGAGAGGGAAGACCGTACATTAAATCATCCATATCCCGGTCCGAATGATGTCTGTCTTAATCGTACACGTCAGTACACATGCCTAAGCGTTAAAACCAAAAAGCAGAATATAGTTATTGGGCGTAAAGCTCTTCTAGGCTCAATGCACGTGTGTGTGATCTCCCATGATCCGCATGAAACTTGACTTTAGAATGACCCTGACCTGAATCTGACTGACAGCAGCCTTTCAAATAAGCGGTCAACTATATTTTCTGCCCGCTACTCTGTATCTTGACATGCTTCATAGTGGCCTGGTAGAATGCACGTGACTTGCAAGCTGTCCCTCGTGGGTCTAATCGATTTGTTTGCGTAATCCATTTACCCCGGTTACAGAATAGCGGAGCGCGCGTCTGTTGTGACCTCTGACCCGCCTAGCGCCTCCCTCTGACTGGTCTCCTCCCGTGTCCGCCAGGCGGCAGCACAGCCGGCGCCGGCCGCCGCCGCGCCTGTGGACGCCCCGCTGCCGCAGCCGTATGACCTGAACCAGTGGGCGCACATGCTGCAAAACAACCAGCACCAGCTGATGGCCATGCAACAGCTCTACAGCCAGTACTGGGCCCAGTACGCCCACATGTATGTACATTCGTCGCCGGCTGGGTGTGGATCGCGGCGGTAACGATGGTAACCGTCGACAAATGACGGAACTGTGTCATGCGTGAGGGGCTGTTGGTATGGTGACCGTGTATTATTGTATTGCGTGCGCCATATAATTCATTTTGTTCAGGGCATTGCGCTCTCTGACGCCCATTGTAACCCACTACAGGCGGCTGTTGAAGGCGTAGCTCCGTGTGGAGTGTGACCGGACGCCGCGTTACCACAGTTGCCTCCTGCCGGCAGGATGCAATACAACCCGGCCTCAATGCCGATGATCTGGCCGCAACCGATGCAGGTGCCGCCCGCGGGGTCGGCGTACCCGCCGCCGGCCGCTGCCGCCCCCCGCCCCCGCCCCCGCCCCCGCTCCCGCCGCTCAGGGGCAGCCGCCGCCGGCCGCCGCCCCCCAGAACGTGCGCCTGAACGCACAAGGTCAGGACTGGTCGGCACGCGCGGCGGCCGGAGTGCAGCATAAGGCGCCGCCGGAGCGCCGGCTGTCGTGCTGGGTATTTTGCGACCGGTGATGTGGGATGTCCCCCTTGATTGAAGGCTGGTGGCCTCGGTCGTAGCGCCATGAGGGGGGCCAATGGCGTTGGGTTATGTGTCGTTTATTGCCGCTGCGAGCGAGATGACGCAGGGTCGCATGCACTGACGCAGTTTCCCGGGCGTGCGTGTCATTAGCCTGCCCAGCATCGAAAGGTCATCTTGTACTGGCTGGGAATCTTTGCTCTGGCATGGGGCGGCTGTGACACGTATCATTATTAGCCTCCACTGATAATCAGTATCATAGCATCGTACCTTACGTAAGATGCATGACTGTTTTTTTCTGACTAGAAGGCTCAAGGCAAAGTGATATATCAAACGGAACTCGCCATTCATGCGGGGTGATTCCACGCGGAAATTTATGCATAATATACCTTTTCAAAGAGGTATCCCTCAAGTCAACTATAAGCACGCCGTTTTTTGTGGTAGTAATGGAAAATTTGTTTGTAAAAAGGAGTTTTGAATCAACTAAACGTGAATACCCGGAAAATTGTCTCCTTTTATATTTGTTTCTGATTTTATGCTTTAGCGCTTGAATATTGCCACCAAAGCACAATGATGTCATACATTCCTCCCATTAGGCCTCCGTTGGCTCCCCCCCCCCCCCCCACTCAGTTAAGACCTGAAAAAAATGCTGCAGCAAAAAAGCATGGTCGGCAAAAATAAAGACAAAACCGCGACTGTATAAACTACCTAGGTTTTTGCTCTTATTGAACGAAAAACTTCAGATGCTAAACCCTTTAAGTTAAAGCTACTTGTACAAACTTTGGAAACGTGACTTACTTCACAACTATCCCCGTTGATAACACGGCCGCCCAAAAAGGCACGCGGTTGTGATGACATCCTCTGTCGGCGCCGGTCATAAGCAACAGTGTGCCGTGTCGCCGCCAGGTGGTGTGCTGGCCGACGACGAGGACGAGGCCCCTGGCCAATGGGACTGGCTGGATTGGCTGCACGGCTTCGCCCGCCTGGCCGTGCTCTTCCTCGCCGTCTACTTCTACGCCTCCATGTCGCGCCTGGTGCTGGTCCTCGGCTTCGGATTCCTCGCCTACCTGTGAGTGCGCCTGCGGAAGGCCTCGAAGTGGAAGGAGCTGTGAAGTGTGCAAAGCTTCAGTGCTTCTGCCGAGACGGCGTCAGGATAGAGTGGATGATTATATCATTGATGATGGAAGAGAACATTGACGGGCTTTGATTCCGTTACAAACTCAGGTCGAGTTTTCTCTGCCTGTAGCTTGCGCTTGCAGCCATACTTGATGTTCCTTCACATTTGATGAAAAATATGAAAACCTAAACGTTCGGGCTCTCTGGCACCCTGGCATTAGGTTTTGTTATGTTCCAGAATTCGTGTCCATGTATCTTATCCCACAAAGTAATTGGATACTGGTGGGTGGTAACTGCAGTGTAGATTCATTGATGGAATTCATTCCTCACTTAGCCAGTAAAAAGAATCATAAGTGAGCAGGATATTTTCGTCGTGAAGACATATATATCCAATTGCAGCGTGTTCCTTTGAACAGAGTAGATGACAAAGCTCAGATCGTCAAACGTTTTCAAAATTTGTAAGGTTCATCAGCCGCTAACTCAGGCAGGTGTAATCTGAATGCAAGAAGTGTTGAACAATACCAAGTTGTTATAGTATCAGTTGTACACTGATCGTTTGCTCTTGGCCGGCGATCCGTGCGGTCGGTGGCGGCCGTCGCGCTAAAGGTCAGGTGACGTCAGAGGGCGGGGCCGGTCGTGCCGACTTTGGCGCCACGTTGCTCTTTTGCCGCCAATTTCTGCCGTCGACCTGGAATTTCACGTTCGGATTGTAGAGATCAGGGCTGACGTAACAAGCACTGCTTGGCGTGCGCTTCGATTCCATAAATGCATCCATTCAATTGATCGGGATCGAGTCTTTGCCAAAAATTGACGCAGTGGCAAACAGTTACCCATTGCTACTGTCAGATAGGCATGCTGCACCTTGGCTCTGAACATGCGGTTAGAGAGCAAAAACTTAAAATGTGGTAGAGCGTTGGCTAGTAATCCACATGGTGTGGGGATCATTCTATGGTGCAATGTGAGTCAACTTTAGACTCCCTCAGAGATATTGATGTACCCGTAATGCATGTCCACTGCTTTATACATATGGCCGGGACCCACAGCACTTTGTTCTCGAACGGAACATAGGAGCGTTGTGGGCTGAGATTGGGCAGTAAAAAGTGAGCTCATATATTTAACTTGGATGTACCTCCTCAGCCTTAGGTGGTGTGCTGTGCTAGGCACAGAGTTTCTGGGGCTGGGGTGAACCGCGCTTACTGCCGTGTCTTGAGGACGCATCAGGCCGGACAGAGTTTCATGCCAGCTGTCGTAAATTCCTTACGACTTCCGCTATGCGGGTTTGTGAAACTGCATGCATTTTAATGTGCCAACGCTCCTCATATGTATTCAGCGCGATGCAAGTCATCAAAGAGCTGCTGAAATGTGCCCCGCGGATGAAGGCTTCTGTCCGAGGAAAGCGCGCGACGATTTGTCGAAAAATAAACAGGCCAGGGGCCTTTGTGGTGATGGGCGCCACTGGAAAATGAGCACCCAAGAATTCTGAGAATCAATATTCGTGAAGTCCAAGCCCTGCCACGGCCCAAATTTAGTTCGTTGGGACTGTAGCAATCCAACACCTCCTCGATCCGGGCAATAAGTTGATGTCAGAGGGATTCAGTAGCTGCGAGTGATGTGTTTACTGCTTGTGAATATGGAAACCTTTATACGTGACTGATGCGTAGGTTGCAGCACGCTTGTTTGATGCGTTTCCAGCAGCCTTCGAACTATCTGATAAAGGCGCTCACGTTTGTCACCAGGCGCGTTGGAGAATGGCATGATTCGTAGCAATGGGTTTATCTCTGTCACACCTTCATTCTGTCGTTTTACTTTCTCTCCAAACATAAGTGACGATGAAATCAGTCTCCTTTGTTATATTGTTTTATGATCATGCACAAATACTTGGTCTGGCCTGGTCAACATCCGTTCTTCTCATGGTCTCCGTAATGAGCTATTACCTCCCCAAGCGAGACATCCGTTGGAAGTCGAGAGTGAAATCCGTCCTTGGTTTTTCCGTGGTAAAATCGATGGCTGATACTGTCTTCCGCTGGGGTCTCAGCTGCAAATGTTTGGCTCGGATCAGCAAAGGCGACGCAGGAAAGACGATCTTCGGTTGCAGGGTGTCAACAGCCCGTGTCTATGGAACACAAAAAATCCTGACATACGGCCACCTACGGAACAGGAATGGAATAACAGAACAGAGCAAATGCGTGTTATAACTAAGACCTTGATGTAGCTATGCCTATCCAGCTGCGGCTTTGTTAACAGCGCGCCATAGCCGGAAGCGTCTCCGCTCCGCCATTGAAACCGAGTCAGTGAAGGATGTTTAGGCGGGAATCTAGCTGGGCACCTCCAGGTTGCGTGGATAGGTCTGGAGTGTGCTGAGCTGGGATCGGTTCGGGACTGGTCCGGCGGGCGTTAGAGGAGCCGGCTTGTTCGCTGAGTGGGGATTGGCTCGGATCTGGCCTGTCGGGATCGTTTCGGACCTGGTCTGTCTGGCGTGGGAGGAGCGGGCTTGTTTGCTGAGCAGGGATCGGTTCGGCCTTGTTCGGCGGGCGTGGGAGGAGCCGGCTTGTTGGCGCAGTTGTGGCGGGTCGATCACTGGCCGGTGTTACGGAGACTGAATGGGCCGTGAACTGATCAGCTGATCGGCGGCAAGACACGCGGGCGGGCGGCCAGCACAGGGACTGGCAGTGCTGCGCCCGGCCGCTCCTGCCCGGCTGCTCCTGCCCGGCCGCTCCAGCCCGGCTGCCCCTGCCCTGCCGCTCCTGCCCGGCCGCTCCTGCCCGGCCGCTCCGGCCCGGCCGCTCCTGCCCGACTGCTCCAGCCCGTCCAGTCAGATGTCATGCTCGTAGCGGACCATTGTCAGCCGTTGCTCAGTGGACGTCACCGGGTGGAAAAATCGGTGCTTTAGGATTGAGCCAGATGCCGTGTGTTGTTTTCCAGGTAGCCGTGCGCCGTCAGTTGTAGCCGCGCCCTGCACGTTCAGTGTTGTCGATTGAAGGCAGGGCGTCGTACATCGCGCAGCGCCAGCCCCTTTAGCCTGATGATATGAGGGAGAACTGATATGCAGCGCCAGGCCCTTAAGCCTGATGACATGAGGGACAGCTGATATGCAGCGCCAGCCCCTTCAGCCTGATGACATGAGGGAGAACTGATATGCAGCGCCCAACCAAAAGCGCGACTGAGCGCGTCCATTGGCGGCAGTTACGTGAAAGCGCCGGCTGGTGTGTAATGGTGCGGGATATCGAATTGGCCACGGCGTTGGGTGATGGCGACAGCGGTGGGTTTACAAGTGGGCTGCGGTTGAAATTAGAATGCGGACTAATAGTCGTGATTGGAAGTCCGAGGGGAGTTTGCAATTCATGAGCTCGCTGCTGGGAACCGGCTGACGGCAGGTTCAGTGGCGCGCGTAAAATGTCCTAGCCCCCCCCCCCCTCCCCCCCCCTCCCCCATCTGGAAATGTTGGCTCCATTTCGTCTGTTTTACGCGCCCCTGTTCGAAGCCAAAAGGGTCCCTCGCAACACCTAGTTAGAGCGGCGCCTCTCTAAGCTCCTTTGAGCGGACGACGTTAAGCCCAGGCAGAGAGACACCCCGAACCCAAATAGAAAGCGTCTCAAGGCCGCGCATAATGGGGTTCCCAAGATTTGGTAAAGCTGTGTTCCAAGCTTGGATGGAAAGGCGCCAAGCTCAGTTCGGGGGCGCCACAGACTTCCAAGTGGAGTGGCGCCGCTAGGTTTGGTAGAGGAGCGCCGCAGGGATGTCTCAGCCTGTTGGAAGATAGGGCCTCGAAGCTCAAGCACGGGTGCTCTTCAAATCCTAATAAAGCGCCTCTGAAATTCAGGCCGGAGGAGAAGCACTTCACTTTAAGTTAGAGGCTGTCGAACGTGCAGGAGGATGGAAGCCCCCAAGCCCAACTGCGTGTGTCCAAAGCCCTGGCAGAGGCGCTTTTAGATTCAGGTCGGGGGGGGGGGGCACCTCAGGCATAAGAAGCGCTCCACCCAGTCTGAGTAGATGAGCGCTAGCAGACGCTGGTGGATGCAGAGCTTGTACCCAGATGCATGTGAAAATACTCCAAACTCAGGGAGGGGTACGTTCAAAAGACCAAAGAGACACGCACACCGAGTCTGGTTGGGTTCACCTGATCCTAGATAGGTTGCAAATCCTGGAACCAAGCGTAGGGCTTCACCAAATCTAAGGACAGAGGCAGTCCAAAGTGAAGGCTTCGGCCAAGTTACTGGTCAGATATAACAACAAGGGAACGAAGGTCAGCTATGAAATCAAAATGGATCGCCATTCGTGCAGCTGAAGCTCGTATTCAGATGGCCTTTGTTTCAAAGGAAATGGATTACCTGTGTCGTATAACTGAGTTAACTAATGTTTGCGGAATATGCATGATATATGCAGATTACCTTTATCAAATGGAATGTCCCTATTTGCGTGAGGCTACGTATCCAGATTATCTTTATCAACTGAAAGGCTTCTGCTTGTGTGAGGGCTCGAACTGAAATGGCAAGATTGCAGTCCACAAACAGATGTGCACAACCATAAACAAATCAAGGCTTTAACATAAAAAGTGAGTCATTGAGCTGCTTGAATGCAGTAAGCCCACGGGCGCACTCCAAGCCAGCATACTCGACAGCGGGGTAACGTGTCACGTGGCCATACAGCACAGCGCCGATGTGTCCCACCGCCCGGTCTTCAGCCGCTGCTGCGTGTCGATGGTGGTGGGGTGGGAGCAGGATAAAAGGCAGGGGGTCGCGTCCAAATCGAAACCGCTCCGCGCTCGCTCGGATACGATACACGTGGTCTGTCGCGCTAGATTTTTAATGTGTTTGTGGACTATTGTGAAAGGTGTTTATCGGTGCACCTTCACCGCGTGTCGTATGCAAACAATGACAAGGTCAGTGTGTACTCAAATTCTTAATATATCTATGATTTCGCAGCATGGGTCGCGGCCTGTCAGCCGACGCGGGGGCGCTGGTGAAAGGGATGTTCGTACGTGACGTCAAACGCTAATTGACACGGCACTGCCGAATGTTTTGTTTCGTGCAAAGTTGTGAGACTTCCAGCTTTACTGAACCAAAACAAAATGGCGTGACCGCGTTCAGCGCGTGCCGTCTAACGTGTTCCCTGTTTGATAGTTGTCAAACGTGAAACTTCTTTTTTTTTGGCTTGCGGCTATCTTCATTGGACTGCCTATTGATGTCAGTATTGTATTTAATATAGTCACATATTTTGTCGGTGCAGGTGTGCTTCCTCATGCTGCATGCTTTTTGTCCTGTCCTTTCAACATTCCGACGTGGTCGCCAAGGAATGAGGGCTTACAGCAGAACCGCCGGCAGCAGCCGGCGTCTCTTATGCTTTCATAGACACTGGGTCGTTAACAGGAGCTCGGGCGAGGGTTCAGTTTGACCCCCATCCCCGAAGGTGTTCGGGAATGGTTTCCGAACGGCGTGGCATGGCCGTGCCCAATGTTTCATGGCTGCAGATAATTGAATAGCGCATCGCTTGGTATCAAAAATTAGATGTACCTTGCAAGCTCGCCGACCAACGGCATGCGACCTTTCATCCCATGGATTCAGCGAAGACAATGTCTAGGGAATCGTTCAATGGGGTGCAGTGATAGAGCGTTAGATGAAGCTATACTGCTCTGAGATAGCTTTTTAGGCAACGCAACGATTGAATGAACAAATTCCATCGACCCAGGGTCAGGCATTAAGGTCAGATCTAGGTCAAAACAAACTTCATTTATCACTCTAGAGCTTGCTGTTTTGTTTAGAATGAATAAAGGGAACCACATTATGTGTCTTTCATGGACGTTTTTAGGTCGGGATAGGTCACTGACCTGAAATGACACATGTCGACATTTTGTTTTTAGAAACATACTGCCCAGCTTAATCCTTGACGCGTATTCAAATGCAAAACTCAAAAGCAGTTGTGTATGATTTTGGTGACCGTGACCTGCGAAAGGTCAAACAGGGTTACTGACGTTAAATCAACACCAGTGACTTTGCTTAGACCGGTTATCCAGGTTTTGGGAACATCATTATGCGTTACCCTCCATGAGCTTTTTTACAAGTACCATTGCGTTAACTTACACTATTATTATCATTCTACTTTCACCCTATTTTCAATATGAAATTTTCACCTTTCATGATACGTTTAGTCGGTGACGCATTCAGGTGGGCTTGATTAGTTTGAACAAGACAGCGAACTTGTAGGGCTGAGGGTCCTCGCGTGACCGCCAGCACTACGTCTTCGGTCGTTGCGTGTCTTCCGTTTTACCTGCCACGCCCGAGCGGTCGGCCGCCGCTCAGGATCCCCGTCCACGGCGCGTCCGTGTCTCCCGTGTCTCCCGCCGCACGGCCGGGCGTCTCCCGTACCCGCGTCTCTCGCCGCGCGGCCGGGCGTCTCCCGTGTCTCCCGCCGCGCTGCCGAGTGTCTCCCACGTCTCCCGCCGCGCGGCCGAGTGTCCTCCGGGCCTCAGCCGCCCCGCGCGTGTCGGTCGGCTCGAGCTTCGGCCGCCGCGCCTGCGACCGGTGCTGAGCGGCCCGTCGGCCGGCCGCTCAGCACCGTTTACCGCGAGGCGTGGGCGGCCGGCCGGGCCGGATATCGACCTGTCGGCCGGGGCCGCTGCCGCTGCCGGCGCCGGCGGCCCCGGCCGACTGCGGCGCGGCAGGCTCTCTAGGCGACTCGCCGTTACTGGCGCGCCGCAGCAGGCACCCGCACCCGCGCGGCGCACTGGTCACCGGCAGGTGTACGCGGGCGGGGCTTCTTGCCTCAACACTGGGTGGCGTGGGCGGGGAGGCTGCAGTTGAACCGACATTCAGGCGTGCGAGGCAAGGTGGGACGAGTGAGGGTGATGTGGTAACTCGCGGTCGTAGACACTTTTGTCTCGGTTTACCGCGAAGCAGGGCGGCTTCTTCCGAACACGCTCCTTTCCTATAGCCGGTTTTCTCTCGGCGCCGTAAATCGGGTGTGGTTTACTGGATGTTGCTGTTGGCTGCTGCCACTTGCAGCCCAGCCAGACATAGCTCCTGTGTGGTCGCCATGAAGTCACGGCCCTTTCCAGGCGCTGAAATCATCTTGTCTGGCAGGTACAACCAGGGCTGGTTCCAGCAGCCGCGCGCGCCCGTGGTGCCGCCGGTGGCGCGCGAACCGGACCAGCTCTTCCCTCCGCCCAGGGACGCCGAAGAGCACCACCAACATGACGATGACGACGAGCCAGACGATGGACGCCTGAGGGTCAGCGCTGAGCTGCGCGAGGTCAGTGACCCAACGCTGCGAGGTCAGCGACCTTGCGCCACGATTTCAGTGACCCGGCGCCGTGAAGTCAGTGAGGTTTCCGGCCTCTCTCCCGGCCGGTCGAGCCGCTTGCGGGGCAGGGTCGTGAGATTCACGTGGATGACTGTGCCGGTTGCGCCACAGATGCTTGTAGAAATCGTGGGCTGCGTTGAGGTCGTTGAGATTCTCACGAGTTGCGGCAGATCGTAGTCGGTGCTCAGGGCTGACAAGCATTTTGAGTCGTGTACGGTTGCCGTTTGCGCCCCGAATTCCTTCGCGTGTTGGCCATGTGACGGATGCGCTTGCGGCATGGCCGCGGCCCCATACTGGAGTACCGAGTTCATCGGCGCGCCACGGGACACGGCGCGTTAGCTCGACTGACGTGACCTGACCGAGCATGACCTGATCCGCCGCCAGGTGTTGCAAACAGATGGGCGTGGAGCCGCCGCTGGTGAGGCCGCCGCACCCGCTGACGCTCGCCTGGACCTTCTTCACGTCGTTCTTCGCCTCGCTGGTGCCCGAGCGGATAGATTAGCCCGCGCTTCGGCTTCTAGCCCGTCAGCATGCCACCAATTACGTGTAAATCCTCCGTGTAACCGGCGTAGACTAGTCCGACGACGAGTAGACTAGCTCGGATTAATCGTTTATCAAGGATCTGTGTCATGGTATTCAGTGTGCTAATCGGTGTCGATTGGGCGGGTACGCGGCGCCCCGCTCGGGGTCACGTGGCTCCGAGCAGCTCGCGGGGGAAATCTGAGCGGGTCGGATGACGACCGTCGCTCGGCCCGTATTGGGCTCATCTATTTTTGTGAGACGGTCGTAGGTTGACGGGATCGCGCTCCGACGATTGGCGCCGTGATGGTTGGGTTGCGCGCCCGCCGGCGCTGCACGCGGCGGCGTCGCCAGCGCCCGCCACACGCCGCGCGCGGTTTGCTTTCGTGCGCTGGTGCCGTGCGGCGGCGTTCTGGCCCGCCTCCCGCCCGTCGCCATCGCTGCGCCGCTAGATTCGGCGCCGCTTGTCCCTGTTCGGTGGGGCCCGAGTGCGGTGTGGAGTGTGGGCTCTCGCCGTGGCGGGAGTGCGGTGCGGGACGTGCACAGTGTAGCCCGTTCAATACACCACCTCTGCTGTGTGTCGCTATGTTCTGGGGCGGCTGCGGTGGCGACGACCGCCAGTGTTTGGTCCCGAGGTTGGGACTGGAGCACGGTCTAGTGACAATCGTGTGGCCAGATTATTGGCGCCAGCAAGAAACAGCTGGCAGAAGACTTTTCAGCAGGGGGAACAATGCAGGGCTGGGGATAAGAAGCGGGTATGGGGCGCTGTTTGCCAGGTGTTCTCCACGGCGTCGGTTGATGGGAGAGATGGTGGCCGCGGTCTGCGCGGCGACAGATGCATCTGCGCAAGTGTTCCTGAGACCTATTCCGAGCACAATGACCCGCTCAGTTTTTGTGGGCATAAGTACGTGGCATGTGAGCAGTGGCGTCCGCCGCACCGGTGGTGTTGGTTTTGGTGAAAATAGTTCGCTAAATGCGTTGCCGTAATTTCAGTCACGCAATAATCACGTCGAGTCCATCAAACATGGCTTCGGCCAGTGTGCTGCACGGAAGTGTCGTCTTAAGGACGAACTTAAAACAAGTGCATATTGCCATGGATACGTAACGAATGCTTTGATGTTTGTGGGGTGCGCGTGCCACGCCATCACGTTCCGGCGGTGTGGCTTAGCGCAGGTGGCGCGGCGTGCCGCGGTGGACGGTCGGTTGCCAATGACGCCGCTTGAACTCGCAAGTCAATAACCCGGCGCAGGCACATCATAGTTCGCCAAATCAGCCGCGGTCGCTGGCGTGGTTCCGTGCCCCCGTATCGCATCGACGCCTGGCGTATTCGCCACTCCATCGGCAATCAACACGGAGCTGTCTTGCCTCCCACGCCTCCACGCTGGCAGAGCCTCTGCCCGGGGTGCGGGAGACTCCCGCCGTCCCTCGGCGAGGCTACCGGCGCTCGCGCCCTGGCATTCAGCCGCTCAATCAGCTGGCGGTGCCAGCAGCTGACTGCAGCGGCGCCCCAAGGGAGCGGATCGGTCGACGCGGTCAGCTTCGGACGCCGGCCGGCCGCGTCAGTCGATTGACGATAACGAGGGGATTGACGCCGGCTGGCGAACGCGCTGAGCCGCGCGAGCGCGGGCGGGCCGCTGAGCGAGGAGGGGGCGGGGCTTCTCCGCGCAAGAGGCCCGCTGGTGATCGCTAGGCTTAAGTTGCGCTCTCAGCGTTTTCGCAGGGCTTGAGGACTGGGGAAATTTGAATAATGGATGCTTCTGATACGCTGCGTCGTTTTTTACCATTGGTAAAATAGCGAGAGATATGCGTTGGGGTACACAACATTTCTAGGAATCGGCGTCAGCGCCAACGGCGGCCACGAGAAATCGTGTTGATGCCTTGGAAAGGAATGTCTCGTCTGCAATATGTTTTCATGCCAGCAGCACGTGGCGTAATTGACGAAGCGGCGCCGCTGGGTGCGGAATGGTGGAGGCAATCTGCGGAACGCTTTGTTGCGCATTTCCGTTTCAGAAATTGTATTATTTGCGCCAGACCCCGTGCGACGTAGGCAATGCAAAAGGCTGGCAACGCCGTCATCATCTTAAGCTGTTTGTGAAGATGGCGAAGACCAGTACGGAAAGTGCACTATTTAGGTCTTGCGAACAAAGATGCGTGTGTTTAGATCTTGAACCGTTTTTGCTCGTCACGTAACGGTATACTTGGTTTGGGTCCTGGGTCCTCCTCACGTGATTCTGTCACATAACAGTGCAGTCAGAACGACGCTTACGTGAAGAGACATCTCGTGGCTTTGGCCGCTGCGGCAAAAAATGTGACCACAAGAGATCACAGAAGACAACATCGACATTGGTACAGACAATAGTGATACGTGATGCTGGATAAGCAAGCTAAACTGACATGTTGAAACCGAGCTAGACCTTTTTTAGTCAAATGTACACACCAATTGAATCCAAGTTGAAAGGTAAAAGAAAAAAGGCGAACGAACCAGGATTGAGGTGATGCCAGGCGACGTCAAAACCTTGTGCAAGGTTACGTTATGAACTCAGCGACCTACGATGTTGTAGCTAGCACGGTTGGACTCCGCATTCTGGCACTCTTTGACAAGGCGTCATTTATACCTGTTGTGCAGGGTTATAACATGACCCGGCCTGCCTGCAACTCCGGTCGGTCGCCTTTATTCTAAGATCTAAGTTTTAGATCGGCTTCAACAATTCAGCTTACCGCCATTGTCTAGCATTACATGTTGCGATCGCCGGATACCGATTATCGCTTTTGCTCTCGGTGACCTCTGGAGGTCAAAGTTTGTGGTGTCTGCGAAAAGCCGGGAAATCTGTTTGTTATCTGAATGTTCGACATTTGAATTGGTTTAACAAAGTAGAAGGGGTCAGGATTTCCAGGTCGTAGTGCCCCATGTTGAACTCAATAGGGATTAGCGTATCACGCCAGACACTGATATCGTCCAGGCATTTACGGGTTTATATTTTGAACAAACCGTTATTTGATGTTGCAGTTGGCACCATTCAAGTCACCACTACATTTTTGATCCATGAATGTTCATGTGTGCTTCTCCGCGCAAGGTGATCACGGGATCCGACATGATCGCAATCCTGGTCTGGTCACCTTCCTCTTTCACCTTGAAACTTTGATGCCATGGTTGGGTTTTGACTAAAAGAGTTTTAAATCGGTTTGAACATTTCAGTTTCCCCCGCTTATTCAGCATCTTGTATTATATTGACCCCTGCCTTGTACCGATCTGGTATTTGATGACCTCTAAAGGTCATAGATTTTGATCCCCCACAAATATCCGAGTTTCTCTCGTCATATGGAATGTTCTTCACTTGTATCCATTTTAAAGAAAATAGGACCCGGGGTATTCCATGTCGTAGGGTATCCCGTTGGAAGCAGCGGGTCTACTTCATTGGGTCAGAAAGAGTTTGATCAAAAACAGAAATTTGCAGACATTTATGAGTAACAGAATTAGCACGATTCCATTCGACTCTGCACTGCATACACTCTCAGAAAAGGAAGGCGTCATTTACGCTTCCTTGCAGTGGAGGGTTACCACTTTACCTGACAAGATCTTACCCCTGTTTTGGTCGCCTTACTTCTCACACCTGAAAACGTTGATGCAATTGGTATGCACATTTGACTTCAAGCAGTCTTAGATCGGTTTCAACCCGTCGTTTTGCGCTGCTTATTCAGCATTATCATCATGTCCATCCATATGTTACAGACGTCCATGTCGAATATCGATCTGTATTCGATGACCTATGGAGCCCACAGTTTGTGTTGCCCCTGAAAACGCCAAGAGATGCCCTTGTTATCTTGGGTGTTCTACCCTAGTAGCGACTTAAGATAAATCGAAGGGTTGGGCTTTTCCATTTCGCTGAGTTTTGTGCTGAAGTCAGTGGGAAAAATGTAGCATGCAAAAAAACATAAGATTATCAACTTAAAAAACGGCAGATTCTTTCAACCTGTATGGGTTAGGATTATTTTGAGTGCATTTTCGGAGTCGGTATATCATTCCAAATCGGATAGTATATAGCACGCATCACGTCTGTCGACATAAAGCGGCTGATCGTTTATGCCTCTGGAATTCGAACCGCTCAGCATCCACGAATAGATGTCCGTCAAATCAGCGTCTTATTCGACGGACGTAACAAAAAGCCTGTACGTAAGGCACCAGCGCATCTTGTGCTGTCGTTGGCACCAGTTTCGTTAAAAGCGAAGGGCTCGTCGATTTCCGCCGAATGCGGATACCGAACTGCTACTAACTTGACACGTTTTGCATTTTGTGTATTTCTTCTCGCGGTTATTGTTTACGCTGTATGGAGCAGAGCGTTTTCATTGTTCGTTTAATGGAACGACGAAAGGAGTCAGCGTCTAGCAAGGTAAGACAAAAGTTCTTCGCCGTCATATCTATTGAGAATTCTTAGAACGTCTACATCCCCGATACCATCTGAAGTGTCTACACACATACCTGTACTTGCCGACGTCAAGAGTTGGGCAAGCGCTGCTTATAACTAGCCCAATTTTACCCGTAAATTAATGTTACGTGAAAGCATGCCAGTTCGTTATGATCTTCCACCTTCCTTGGAAGCTATAAATCATTAGCATTACAGCGATGTAAGGGAAAAGATGAAATCGAAAAAGGGGTTTATGTTCCCCTCTTCCTCATTTTTTGCGGATTTCGTACGTTCTCGATTCACAGCGATGGCTTTTTGACATATTCGTCTAATGCGATAATGGGTTTGCTCGGGCAAAATAATCGACTTAGATCTCTCCCAGTGTGATATCAATGTCATCCACATTATAAAGCGCGTTTGTCATTTGTGAGACCAGTCATGTTTGTGAGACTCGAAATTTGTTCGTCGCGATTTAAGTCTGCGTATTTATTCGGTGGAAGTGGTACTGAATCGATGGAGTTTTCATATATTAATTTGCGTGCCCAATTTACACATCGAATACAACGAAATTGGTGACGGA